TGGCAACCTGAGCTGGTGGTTCGAAATACCGAACCGGCCGACCGCAGTGGGCCAAATCACTTGTGAGCTTCCCGTCACCATCATCAAGACGGGTATCTACACAGTGTGGCCCCTCTCCGGCTCAGGCTGTAGCGCTAAGGCTGGCAGGCTGATCTCGGCATGGAGGCGTGCCAAGCCCCAGTTGTGCAGCGCGGCGCATGCGGAGGTGACCTGAAGGGAGTGACGACCGGATTTATAGACAATTCACTGTACACGATGAGAAATACTCGGGGAGGGGCGTTTTTTTGGATAGCGCATTTTTCGTTCTCGTTTCACCTTTCGGACTAGGATTTTCACGCAAATACCCTCTGTTTGACTGGCAGGAGTCATACAAGGAAGTAATACCACACTATTTGACCTACTAACCAGCGCGTATGTTGCTGCGGTGTGATATACCTGAAGACTGGTAAGTATCGAGAGCTCTTGAGTGCTGTTGGATGCCGCCTACCATGACGTCATCCATGGAGGTCTTATCGTTCTTATCAGATGACGTCATTTTCAGCCCAGACAACCGTTCGCCTTGCAAGCCAGGGCACTCCGCTTTTTCGGCTGCGCGTTCCTGTGCCCTCGTCGACAACGATCCATCGCGATGCTCATCGTCCAAATGCCAAGTCCCGAGGTGTCAACCTCATGTTTAAATGTGAGGAGCCTGGCATACCTTCTTCGCGGCATCGTCGTTATGGACGTTGTCCACCGAGACCGATCTTCCCATCCTCTCGCGCTCCTCTTTGAGGTGGACCTCTAGGTCCGCCAGCTTAGCCTTTGCCTTCTCGGCCTGTGTTTGTGGAACTTGGCCGCAACGGCCTCCGGAAGGTGTACGCTGGAGACCAGGGCTCTGGTAACCGGAGCATCGATAAAAACCTGGTCAAGACCAGTGGAGAGTCGTAGGTCATGGTACGCATCGTAGAGTTCCTCTCTACAGTAGGCGATTGTGACCTCGTGTGCGATTGTGGGCCTCGTCAGGGGCATGACCTGCAAATACATCCGGGACGTATCTGGGTTGTCGGTAGGTCTCAGGCCTAGGCTGTTGTTGTCACATGACTTGTGGGCGTTGACGCAGGGGGAGGATATTTAGGTTGATGTTGTTGAGGATGTTGAGTTCTTGGACATCATCCTAGAGCCAAAACATCCTCAGCGCTCTGGAGAGCTGCAGCTAGCCTTTATGTCCGCCCATGTTGGTGCAAGCCTGGACGTCGATAATATGCGCTCCCTCGAGGGGACACTGGAGTCGGCGAAGGAACTTCGCTGTCGCCCAGACCGGTCACCAATCGCAATGCAGAATGCCTCATTCCATTCATGGCAGCTAGGCAGCACTTGTCAAAATGCAAGAGACCCGCTTATATTCCGGGAGCTGCGTTGAGGGTTTGGAAGGAACGTTTGGGACAACGCCCCATCTTGGCCGCCGAAGAAAAGAACTGTTAATGAGCCGAGGTTGCGACGTCCAAGACAGGTTGCAGTGCACCTGATTCCCTCGAGGGTGGTTGCCAAAACTTCACATCTCGACGCCGCACCCAAGGTCGCGAATGCCTGTTCGAAAGGACAGGCCCACACAAACCTTGAACACCTGGCAGAGAAGAGATTGAGCAAAAATTCTTTCCCCAAACATCACACAACACCACACATCTTTGCTCACTGCTAACACCACAATTTTCTTAACCATATCTTAATATCAGCCTGTTGCTCCGTGCAACATGTTTCACAAACTTCCCACGGAGATCCTTTGGTGCATTCTCGAGCCTGTAAGAGAAAACCCTCCCCCCTGGCAAATCCATTGTTCAAGCCCTAACCGTCATAGCTCTCGCCGCGACACCAAATTGCTTTTGCTAGGACTTGCAAAACGGCATGGGAAACGGCGGCACCTTTGCTATTCCGGTCTGTCAAGCTGAAGCTTCCGGTATCCTGGGAAGTCCTGGGATTTGGAGGGGAGGGAACGAAGCCTGATGTCCGATATCCGACCGTCCCGTTCTGCCAACCTCGGTTCTCCCAATACGTTCGCCATGTGGAGCTGTTGAACAGCAATCCGAGTTTTCCGGGCCCCTTCAACTACTATCAGCCCTCTAGGTTTTCTTGTCGCGGTACCGGCATTGCTGTTTCGGATGGCTTCAATAGACACTCCCCGGTTGAATATGCCAAGCTCATCGACACTCCGAGCCCCTTTCTACGAGCCATCCCACACGGATCGCTCCAGAGCTTTACGTGGAATGTGCCATTCTGTCCCAGTCTGGCGTTTGCAAGCCTTGGGGGCTTTCAAAACGGTCTTCAGTACCTGAGCTTGACTACACACCTCCGAGTGCCCTGCTTGCATCCCCGTGATGCCATTGCAGATGGCCTTTGCAACTTCCCCAATCTGAAACGATTCTCTTGGGATGGGTTCCAATGGTACAGGGACGAAGCAGTTCTCCTTCAGATACTGGTATCCGCTAAAGACTCTCTCACTGAGCTGGAGCTCACCGGCCTCCACAGCGGGGGAGGGGACGAGGTGGTCGCTCCAGCACCATCGGCCTTCAACCGTCTGACAGACAGCACCGCCAACGCTGATCAGGAAAGCACAAAGGCCTTGAGGAAAGTCCGTCATTTGACGCTACGAAACGTCAAAATGAACCTGCGATCATGGCAGATCATCAAATGCCTTGACTTGGAGAACCTTCGGACTCTCATCCTCAAGTGTTGCCCCCGGTACGGCACATTACTCGACTATTGGATGAAGTCGTCTTCACAGATTAGGCTCAAGACCCTCCACATTGGCGACTGCGAGCCAGGGGAGGATTCTCTACTCACCACATTCCTGGGCTCCTTTTCTGGCCTGGAGAGTCTACACTTCGATGTAAGACGGGACCTTGTCATGCTTTCCTGTCTTGTGGAACCTGCCCTGGCTGCGCATGCATCCTCAATTCGCCAATTCGGTTTCGATTTGCCCTTGAAACTAGATGGAACCCGCTCGCGAACGGCGGGATGGTGGGACATGCACCCTCTGTCCCATCTACGTGTCCTCGATTGTGTCAGCCTGGGCGGGCGTTGTAGCATGTTCGCCATGGTATGCACAATGCCAATTCACAGCTATGTTCCCTCAATCTCCAAAAACGGTGCTAATACAAAGGTCTCTGTCCAGAAGATGCTTTCCAAATGTTGGAGAAAGGCTGGGATATATTGCCAGCTGGAGCTGATTCACTTTGACAACGACGACATTCTTCAACAACTTGAGCCGAGCGGCAAGTCTAGGGGACGCGGTGAAATCGCTACCGAGGAGTTGAGAAAACGTCTCGCGGACAATGAGGTTCCCGAAGAAAGTGTTTGCCGCCCACTGCTCTGCCAGGAAGAGGGAGAGTTTGTCTTCTTCAAGAAGCTGAGATACAATCATGCAGATCGAAACTGGGATCAGTCGGAGAACAGGTACTGGCCATGGACTAATGACTGGGCCATGCTCAGGAAGAAAGACCAAACCTTGCTCGACTGGATCTTCTCGGAAAAAGGCCTGCCCTCGGTGCAGGTTGTGGCCTTTGGGAACATGAATCGCTTGCTGAGGGACAAGCTCAACCGGACTGGTCTTTTGTGTCGCCAAGAGACAAGGGGAGATCGCACCCTGCGGCCATATCGAGTCCTCATCCCTGCCAAGGAACCCATTGGTAGCCCGTTTCTGAGGATATTGGAACAACATACCAAGTTCATGGAGAATGGATGCGTGTCTAAATATGATCGGTAAGCAAGTCCTGACCAAAACTCAAGCAGATGGGTTGTGTTCAGATTGCTGATTTGTTCCACGTACAGATTGGGGGAGCGGCCTTGACTTTCACTACTCCGTAACAACGTGGCTCAAGAGAACAATATATCATGAAGCATCAACATATTTCCATACCAGACTTCTTTCCTTGTCAAGTACCGGATCATCGTGCGTCCCCGACCTCAAGTCAACAAACCCCTGAGATTGTGACCCTAACCCTCTTCGCGGCCAGCTGCTGACGTAATCACTCTTCCATCCCGCGCGACCCAATCTTATGCAATGCCAGAACCGAAATGCATCTCACCTGCACGCACCACCTTGAACCCAAACAACCACCACCACCACAGCCAAAATGACAACCCTCCAAGCACCCCCACCCCCAACCCTCGATCCCACCAACCCCAACATCCAAACGTGGCCTGCCCTCGGCCTGACCCTCATCACCAACTTCATCACCCCCGCCGAAGAACAAACCTTCATCTCCGCCTTCCACACCTCCACCAACATCCCCCCTCAATCCTCGGCGCGAAAACGCCTAAGCCAGCACTTCGGCCACCACTTCGACTACACCACCTTTGGCGCGTCCACATCCGTATTCACACCCGTGCCAGACCACGTCGCGGCGATAGCCTCCCGCCTGCCGCTCCGCGAGGGGGTGGATAGGGTGCCGGATCAGTTCACGGTGCAGTATTATCCGCCGGGCGCGGGGATCCCCCCGCATGTGGATACGCATTCGATGTTTGGGGAGGCGTTGTATAGCTTGTCGTTTGGGTGGGGGGTGCCGATGGTGTTTAGGGTGGCGGGGGGGAATGAGGCGCGGAAGATGAGGTTGCCTAAGAGGTCGTTAGGAGGGGAGACGGGTGGGGGTGGGAGTGGGAGTGCGGTGGTGGAGAGGGAGGAAGGAGAGGAGAACCCGTCGTGGGAGTTGATGTTGCCGAGTAGGTCGTTGTTGGTCATGACGGGGCCGTCGCGGTATGGGTATACGCATGGGATCAAAGGGCGGAAGACGGATGTGGTGGATGGGGTGTCGGTGTTGAGGGAGGGGAGGTATTCTATGACGATGCGGAGCGTGAGGAGGGGGGAGGAGATTGGGTGTGATTGTGAGTATCCTGGGGTATGTGATGCGAGGATACGAGAGGAGTTGGAGGGGAAGGGGGGGCAGTAGGAACGGGTTAGGGAGTGGTCTGTCTAATGGGAGACCATGAGGGCAGCAAATAGGGAGGCTTGCTTCTGCTGGGATGCTTGATCGAACCCGGCCTCGATCCGAGGGCCTTCAGTGTGTGAGACTAACGTGATAACCAACTACACCATCCGACCAATGGATTCCTTGTGGATGCGATGTTGGTCTTGGGGGGTTTGCTGATGGAGTCGTTGAGATTGTGTTGGATCCACCCTGAGATGCTGGTACGTAATATCTTGTCTCCTAAAGAGCCGTTCAGCACGCCCCAAGTGCACCCAGTGCAACAATCCGTTTGTTCATCTTGTTTATGTCCCCGTTATACGATATCGACTCCGGTGGCGTCAAGTTCATGATGACTACACCCACAAACATGTCAGCATGAACAAGAGCCAGGAAGGGGAGGGAATCACAATCCAAGTACCCACCTTCATTCTGGAAATCCTTCTCCTCCGCAACACTCCACCACAACCTCAAAACCCACAGCGCCACCAGCGCATCCCTCATCTCCAGCGATGCCTCCCCCTCAACAACCAGCCTCGGCGGCAGCTGCTGCTTCTTGTCCCCCGCCTCCTCACGAGCAACGACTTCCTTCCCGCTCGCATCAAGCCATTCCCATACCCGACCGCCTCGGCTCGGTTTGGCAGTGAATAGCACTTCGAGACTCGCGTCGGACTCGGGGAAGAGGGGCGAGCTGGAGGAGGTTGAAGAGGGGCTTAGGAAGGCGGTGAATGTGGGTTTGTGGAAGGGGAGGATGAATTTCTTGGTTAGGGAGGGAGTGAAAGAAGGTACGAATTTGATGTTTCCCAGGGCTGGGACGGGGGAGTTGTTTGTCATGAAATAGGGAGCGGGGATGTCGGTGCGGTAATGGGCGTTCTTGGGGTGTACGAGGCTGTAGAGGGGGGTTTGTTGGGGTTGTTGGTTTTCTGAGTCGGGGGTTGAGGTTTTGGTGTCATTGACGATGATGCGGGAGAAGTACAGAGAGGAGTCTTTGTGAGTGAGGGAGGCTAGGCTTTTACTGAGGTGGTAGAGGGGGGTTGAGGGGGAGGTTTCGGCGCTGATGAAGTCGCCGTAGAGGATGTAGACGGATTGTTGGGCCATTTTGATGGTTTGAGAGGAGAGTATGGAGATTGGACTTTTACTACAGATTTTGATGAGGAGGGTGGTGTAATATACCGTTTTGCTGGCAGCACTGCCATTGCCGTCAATCAACGCCACTGCTAAAGCCGTGCCAAGACTTCCTTCCGTGCTGATCGGGGTCGGGCAGCCGTCTTGCAGGCATTGGAATCCTTCTCATCGTCTTGGCCTGCAATAACTGCGCATTTTCGGCATCTCGACTTCTAGGTTTAGTGGGGTGGTATTGGTTTTCCAGAGGTTAGGTATTTGCTGGAATCTGGAGGAGGATTGTGTTCGAGACAGGGCAACTTAAAGACAACTTCATTCGCCACTCAACACACCAACCAACGGGAATGTCGGGATAAACACAGGAAAAGGATCGCCCATATGACGTGTGCACATATGTGCACTAACACATCCTTTTAGAGTAGGTATATCACCGACGTAGAACTGCGACCCGCGCAGACCCGGAGCGGCTTTGTTTGCTTTTCACAACATTTTCCAACTCAACCACAACACACTGCGATTCAGTTCCACGACACATTTGGACTTGGCCCCCACTAATTGCTCAGGGAGGCAGCAACTCAGTCTTGGCACTGCACCTTCAAGCCATCTCCAGGTAATTCGTCAACTGCGTCGGTTACACAACAGAGACCCCCGCACACGATAAAAATCTGAGGCGTCGTGCCAAACTCGCTCAGCATGCAATGCCAAGCCTGTCTGGCGGCCTCGCAGCGGCGGGAGCCGACCAGGCAGCCACTGAGTTCCCAAAACCTCAATCTCACAACAGGATCCCCCGTAGGCCCGTCCATCGACAATGGCAAGATGGACCCACTATCAATCGCTGCCTCATGCCTCGCCCTAGCAAGCGGCGTCGCAAAGGCCTCATCCGTCGTCGTCGAGTTCACGCGCGACGCCCGCAATGCGAGCAAGGACATGGTCGCCATCCTGGCCGAGCTGCAAGCCCTGGGTGACATTCTGACGCCCTTTACCACGAGCTTACCGACAATTTCGGCGGTGCCTCAGACACTGCTGACGAGGGTTGAGACGATATTGTCGGGGTGCATGGCGGTTGTGAATGAGATTAACAAGCTTGTGGGCAAGTACGTGTACCAGCGGAATAAGGTGTTTGCGAAGATTGGGTGGTCGATGTTTGGGCAGGCGGATGTGCAGAGGTTGAGGGAGAGTCTTACGGGGTATAAGACTGCGCTGAATCTTGGGATTCAGGTTATTTCCATGTGCGCAACTTTGTCTCCTTCTTTTCACTCTTTGCGCTGACTGACACATGTTAGATCCATTGGCCAGGTCGTGGTGGGAGACACCACGGCGATTCGCGAGCAAAATGTAGCGTTGATGGAAAATGTGGACACGATCCTCGCACAACTCAGGGGCATCCAGTCGGCGAAAAGCTCCGGACACAAGCACCAGAGAATCGGCGAGTGGATGGACGAAATCGACGCGCTCACGTCGTACGCCGAGACAGCGTATGCCGCAACAGCGTATGCCGACACAGCCTACGCAGAAACCGTGGCAGAGCAGCCAGCCGCAGAGCCAACCGACTCGGCCCCGCTGATCACCTACCCCGTCATCTTCAAGCCGGTCTACCAAGAAGGCGATCCGGGCAAGGGCATCGGCGGCTACGACCTCCGATCGCCCTTGGACCGCTGCTACCCGCTCGACTTCAACAGCACCGGCCGCCTTGACCACCTCGTCTTCTTCCGCCCCGGCACCGGCCTGATCGTCATCCTCCAGAACAAGGTCGGCACTTGGACTCCCGTCTTTCAAACCACCTCGGGCATCCCCACCTACGACAACATACTCACCCCCGACGACCGCGCCTTCGCCTTTGACTTCTCCAGCACCGGCTGCCCCGACCACCTCCTCTTCTACCGCCCCGGCTCCGGCATCCTCGCCATCATCCGCAACGACGTGTCTACCTCGGGTACCTACACCCCCATTTTCAGAACCCGTACCGGTCTCAGCGGCTTCGACCTCTCCTCCCCCTCGGACCGCATCTTCCCCTTCGACTACACCCACTCCGGCCACCTCGACCACCTCGCCCTCTACCGCCCCGGCGCCGGCCTCTTCCTCATCCTCCGCAACGACGTCTCCACCACCGGCACCTTCACCCCCGTCTACCACCCCACCAACGGCATCGCCGGCTTCGATCTCACAAACCCCCGGGATCGCGCCTTCGCATTCGACTGGGACAGCTCCGGCAAAACGGACCACATCGCGCTGTACCGCCCCGGCGAGGGCCTCTTCACTGTCGTCAAGCACAACGACGACGGGGTTTTCTCCCCTGCCTGGAGCAGCGCGGGACAAGGCGTGGGCGGGTACGACCTCGCGCGCACCTGGGACGTGGCGTTTGCGTATGATTGGGATCATACGGGGAAGAGGGACCATGTGGCCTTCTATCGGCCGGGGACGGGCACGTTTTGGGTCGTGGCGAGGGATGGGAAGGGGTGGAAGGCGGTGTTTGCGGAGGGGGATCCGGGGCGGGGCGTGGGGGGGTATGATTTGGCGAGGGAGTCGGATCGGGTGTTTGCGTTTGATTATGAGGGGAGTGGGAGGGCGGATTGTTTGGTGGCGTATAGGAGGAATGGGACGGGGACGATTTGGATTTTGAGGCATGTTTGAGTTAAACTTGGGTGTTCATTTGGTTTGTTAATGTAAAGCTGTGGGCACACATCAGCAACATTAGCAACATCAGCAACAACAACAACAACATCTCAACAGCACTATCTTCACCTTTTCACCAATCCCTCCTCAAAATCCCAGCAAAAATGCAGTTCACCACTCTCACCTCCACTCTCCTCGCCGCCCTCGTGGCCTCGCCTCTGGCCAGCGCCACCGTCTTCATGGGTCTCAGTCAGGGCCCCAGCGGTGACCAGTCCCAAGTCGCCTGGTACTTCCCCCTCCCCTTTCCCCCGAACTGCCACTAACAAATTCCAGGACCAACGGCACCCCCAACATCTGCGCGGCCTTCTCGACCGTTGTCAACGGAAACACCAACCCGTGCGGCATCGACTTCAACGTCGATGGCAACAATGGCCCGTTCACCTTCGAAGGCTACGGCGGCAACGGCTTGACGCTCGAGCGCAACCATCAGTTCAACAGCAACTGCAAGTTCATCAAGTCGACCATCAACTGTGATGATGGAGCCAAGATTGGTGTCAGTGGATGATATGGGAGGAAGGTGAAATGTGATTGACAAGGGCGGTGGAAGAAGGGCCCGAGGCATTAGGAAGTATTTCTTTACGTAATAATTAAGGGGGGGATAGGGGGCGGAGGGGGCGCTGCATCCCTCCTACAAACACGAAAAATGAACCACGTTGTTCTGATCTTGCAATGAAATAGCTGATCTGTGACATGCTTCTCTATTCTGAACCTTGGCTGTACTGCTCTGATCAACTTGAAAAAGGCCATCCAAATATGTTAACGAAATCCACGCAGTCTCTGACAAAGCTATGCAAAACCTCCCGTCCACCGATCTTTCGTTTCCACACCCATGAAGCTCCCATTCGCCGCTCTGGCAAAGTCCTTCGGCTGTCCAATCCTCAGTAGAAGCAGATCCTACCCCGACCCATCTACGCCTCATATCTCATCCGAATAAGATCGGTGCATACGTGACCCCCAACCCAAAGCCAAAGGTCGCTCGGCCGGCGCCATTCCAGTTGCTCTGCATCGAGCAAGCGGCGAGCCTCGGCGTATTTCCTATTTCTCACCAGGACCAAAGCCCCCTCTGCGACATGCAAGACATTCGGGGGATCTGGTTCGTCGGGAAATCCGCGATCAGAATTGCCCGAGACATCCCGGACAAGATTGTCAAAATTGGCGAGAGCCTGGTCCCTATCGCCATCTCTATTTCGGCCTCTGAGCAGGGTTGCCAGATCAAGGCAGATCCACAGCAGCGCCCTGTTGATCTGGTCGTGCTCAGCCTGCGTGATGGTATCCTGCAGGAGGTTGATGGCCTCGTCGACGCGGCCGGCATCCGCGAGAAGAAGACCACTAAGATGGATGA